ACACCAAATGGAAAAGAGGTTGTCGCAATGGACAGATGAGAAAGACTAGATATTCCATAACCCCTCCCCAAAGACTAGATATAGTCATAGAAATTCAGTTCAGTTATGTGTCAAATATATCTCAATAAAGCTAGAAAACTGATTTTTTAAAGAAATTAAATTCAGGTTTTTTGTTTTGTTTTGTTTTAAATATATCTTTATTGATTTCAGAGAGAGGAAGGGAGAGGGAGAGAGCGAGATAGAAACATCCATGATGAGAGAGAGTCATTGATCAGCTGCCTCCTGCACACCCTTGACTGGGGATCAAGCCCACAATCCAGGCATGTGCCCTGACCGGGAATTGAACTGCTATCTCCTGGATCCTAGGTTGATGCTCAACCGCCTAGCCACACCCAGCTGGGCTAAATTTAGTTTTTTAAAGTTTTACTTTTGAGTTTGGACCAAGGATTCATAACTGCAATAGAAGCCAGTTATAATTTTTATCAACTCCCCCTCTTCCACCCAAGACTTACACCATCCTCTGTAACATGAAGATTTTCTGAAGATTGTGAATGGGAGGCATACAATGACATTCTGGGAAAGCTGACCCAGTTGAAGCTATGTCCCCTCTCTGGACTTCCATGATACCCTGAGCACAGCACAATTTATTCATCCATTCTGTCAATAATTATTTCTTCCCCCCCGCCTTTCTTTTGCTACTATGAATAACAGGACTGGAAATATTCTCTTCTACTGCTCCCTCAGGGGCATACCCAACTGCTATTGCCAAAGACATGGAGGAAGACTAGATAAGAGAAGAAGGGACATGTTTTGACAGGGCAGACATTCAGCAAACACAGGTGTGTGTTCAGGTCAGTTCAGGAAACATCAGTCACTGTCTTCACTTTAGTCTCCCAATAGCTAATGACACTGTTGACTAAGTCTCCTGCTGTTCTCTTGGCCTCTAAGAAAATACTCTCTCCTCTCTGCGCTCTCTTGTTCATGGCTCCTTTGCAGGCATCTCCTCCTGAGGACACCTCTAACTGTTGGATGAACTTTCCCTTGAATCAGGAAGGGCCACTGCTCTCCTCCCTCTATGGACTTCCAAGGTAGTATCATCTAGTTTCAGGCCATTAAACACCACACATATATTAATAATTTCTCCAAAATGCTATCTTCATCTCAGACCTCTCTTCTAAGCGATACACAGACTAGAGCCCACTGCCTACATAATGTCTCTTCCTGGATATCCCATAGGCATCTAGAACTTAATATGTCAAAAATAAACTCTTGGTGCCTGACCAGTGTTGCTCAGTGGTTAGAGCGTGGCTCCGTGCACCAAAGGGTTGTGGGTTTGATTCCCAGTCAAAGGCACGTACCTGGGTTGCAGGTTCACCCGGTCGGTTGGACACATGTGGGAGGCAACCAATCGATATATCTCTCTCATATTGATGTCTCTTTCTCACATCGATGTCTCTCTCTCTCTGCCCCCCTCCCTCCTTCCCTCCCTCCCTCCCTCGCTCTCTAAAAATCAGTGGAAAAAATATCCTCCGGTAAGAATTAACAAAAATAAATAAACTCCTGGTTTTATCTCTGAAACCTGTCCTTCTAGTCTTCCCTTTTGCTGGAAATACCACCATCCACATAACTGGGCACAATGACTATAATTTCTTCCTTTCCCTTACCACCTCCTAAATCCAATCCATCCCTAAGTCCTGCTGACTCCATCTCTAAAATATATCTTGAATCTGTTCACTTCTCTCTGTGCAACCTTTTACTCATCTCACCTGGACAACTGCAATAGCTTTCTCAGTGGTCTGTGCATTTATGCTATCTCATTATAGTCTATTCTCCTCAGAGAAGCCAGACAAATCTTTTGAAACAACAAATCTGTCACTTATCTGCTTAAAAACTTTGGCTTCTTTCCCATTATACTTTATACATTGTACTCTGAAAAAAAAAATCCATATGAGGTTCTACAGGCTCTGCACATCTGACCCCTGCCAACCTCTCCCTTCATCTTCTGTCCCTCTAAGCCCTGGCTATACTGGCCTCTCCTTCTTTTTTCTTTTTTTAAATCCTCACCTGAGGATATTTTTTTCCATTGCTTTTCAGAGAGAATGGAAGGGAAGGGGGGGGGAGGCTCACTGATTAGTTGCCTCCTGCATGAGCCCCAACCGGGGCCAGGAACCAAGCCTGCAACTGAGGTACATGCCCTTGGCTGGAATTGATCCCCAGACCCTTCAGTCTACAGGCCAACACTAACCATTGAGCCAAACTGGCTAGGGCTCCTTCTTTTCTTGAACATGCCAAGCTCTATTACACCTCAAGGTCTTCACCTTTCATTCTACTTAGAATGTAAGTCATATGGCTATGTCCTTCTGGACCTTCAGGTTTGGGTACCTCCTCAGAAAATTTTTCTCTGACCCTCTCTACTGAAGTGACTCCCCCTACTCCATCCCAACATTGTTCTTTGTCCCTGTGGCATGTCCTTTCATTCATAGTCCTTGTTATTTGTCTGACACTAGGCTGTTGGCTTCACAAGGGCAAGGATCACAACTGTTTCACACAACGGTGTATTCCTAGTGCCTAAGCTAGAGCCTGACACAAAATAAATACTCAACATAGTTTTGTTGAAAGAATGGATTAATTAGATAATTTACTGCCAACACCCTAAGCCTGAAGAAGGTGAATGTGGGGAGCTTATGAGAGGATACAGAGGATGATGACCTAGAATATGGTCCTTTTATTCCATAATGCCAGAATTTGATTTATGAAAAACAAGTAAATAGCCCTGCTGGGCATGGCTCAGTGGTTGAGCATCAACCTAGGGTCCAGGAGATCGCCATTTGATTCCCAGTTAGGGCACATGCCCGGGTTCCAGGCTCGATCCCCAGTGAGAGGCGTGCAAGAGGCAGCTGATCAATGATTCTCTCATCATTGATGTTTCTCTCTCTCTTTCTCTCTCTCCCTTCCTCTCTCTGAAATCAATAAAGATATATTTAAAAAACAAACAAACAAAAAACAACAAGTAAATAGGCAATTGCAAAACTGGTAAGTAATATAGTGGAAATCAGAACTGGAGGCAGTAGGAACACAGACAGGCCCATACCCCAGTGTAGGATATGTATGTGATTAGAAGGGAGGCTGTGTTTACATGATCCAGGGCACCAGCATCTCCCTAGAAGAAAGTGTCTTCTTGTAATAATAAACCTTTATCTAGTTACCAAGTTCCATGTACTGTTCCTTGTTTGTTTTTAACGTGCTCACAGTTATAGAGCTTCTGAGTAATAGAGCTGGAATTCAAAGCCAGGAAGTCTGGCTCCCAAGCCTATATATCCTTTTTCTTTTCCACTAATTTGAGGTGAAATTCACATAACATAAAGTTTTTGTTTTTTTAAAAAAATATATCTTGATTTCAGAGATAGGAAAGGAGAGGGAGAGAGAGAGATAGAAACATCAATGATGAGAGAGTCATCGATCGAGCCTGCAACCTGGGCATGTGCCCTGACCGGGAATCGAACCCTGATCGCCTGGATCCTAGGTCGATGCTCAACCGCTGAGCCACGCCCGGCTGGGCCACATAACATAAAGTTAACCATTTTGAAGTAAACAATTCAGTGGCAGTTAGTACATTCCCAATGTTGTGCAACCACCACCTCTATCTAGTTCCAAAACATTTCCATCACTCCGAAGTAGAACCCCTTACCGTTTAAGCAATTTACCCATCACCTTCCATGTACTATTTTTGATCCCCACAGACCCAACTGTACAATTGAGGGAAGTGAGAAGTTTAGTGATGGGTCCAAGGTCACATAGCTAGTAAATGTGGAGTAGTGCTTTTGAACCTTATTTTCTGACTCCAGAGCCTAAATCTTTGATCAATACACATCTTTGGGCAAACCCACAAGGAGGGGGCTGGACTTGGGTTTTAAAGAGAGTAAATTTTGTTGGGGCAGTGCACACTCAATTGTAAAAACTGCAGGTTGAAGTACTGCATTTCAGCTGGTACTGCACAGGCGGTCAGAAGAGCCAAAAGTAATGTAAGCCCAAGAGCAACTCTAGAGCAGGGACTTTGAAACGTCAGCGCTACAGGAAGCTTTGTCAAAGCCTCAAGAACAATAAGTTGGTTAATTCCCAGGGCAGCCCCTATATGAGCCAAGCTGGGCGCTGAAGAGAAGCAGGGTAGCCAGGAGGGTGTGCCTTGCCTTTCGCATCCCAGCCAAGAAACCCCAGGTTTTTGTCTTCCCGAGAGAAGCTGGCGGTGCAACTGGAAAACACAAAGTAGGAAGCAGGCCTCAGGCCAATTGCATCCACTCTTGAGGGGTCCTCCAGGGCAAGAGGACACTCAGGGCGGCCCAAGTTAGTCTTTGTCTTCCCCTTCCTGGAGGGGCTGTCATCACTCTAGCATCCCTCTTCCTCAACACAGGGGTGCTCACTTTGGGATTTCCTCCTTTCTCGCTGCAGGTCAACGACCCGAGAGTTCTTCCCTTTCTTAGGGGTCTCAGACCACCCCTCTAAGTTGCCTCACGCGGTTGCCCCTTACCCCTCGAGTGATAACGGCTCTACGGGCCCCTCCTGCCCCGAAGATGGAGGGGTTCTCTCACACGGCGCAGCATTCGGCCCAACCGCGCCCCTTCCTCTCCCGAAGGGCAGCTCCATGGAAACCAAACATCACAACTCCGCGGAGGTATCGCGAGAGGCGCGAGGCGACCGCGGCCTTGGAGAGGCGGAGCGAGGGCGGGAACAAAGAGCTAAAGGGGTGGAGTCTGGGCGCTTCCGAGGTCGCGGCGGTAGACCTTCCCTCCCAGCAGCGTCTCCGCGTGACTGTGCTTTTACATAATCGAGGCCGCTTGAGTCATAAGTGGCGTAGCCCAGTCCAGACCGAATCAGAGCCCTCAGAAGCTCCGTGTTCCGCCCCTTCATGCTTGATGGATGTCGAAGTGACCAGTGAACAGGCGCTCAGCGTCGCCGCGCCCGCCCCGGTCCGGCCGCACCCTCCCGCCCGTCCGCCTGCCGCAGCCCGCAGCCTGCCTCCTCTGCCGAGTTTTCCCTCAGACTGTCAGATAAAGCGGCGGGCTGAGCCCGCTGGACGGCGAGCACGGCCCCGGCTGGACATGGCGGCGCTCTACGCCTGCACCAAGTGCCACCAGCGCTTCCCTTTCGAGGCGCTGTCTCAGGGGCAGCAGCTGTGCAAGGTGCGCGGGCTAGGGCGGCGGCCGGGAACTGGGACTCTGGAGGCGCGGCCCAGAGCTCCATGTTCTGAGGGGAAGCCCGGCAGGGTCCCCTACGCAGGGCGTGGCGGGCTCGCCTGGCTGAGGAGCCTCGCCCGCCCCGCAGGGGCCTGGTGGGGCGAGTGGGGGAGTCCGGGGCCGGGTCAGGCCCCCTTGGCCGGCTTGTCTGGCTGCTTAGCAACCGCGACAGATTGTGCTCGGACCCGGGGAAGTCGGGGGAGGGTACAGTGGGTCCCCTGCTTTGCCCCAACCCGCCGCGCTGGAGATCCGCCCGGGTTTGCCAGGTTGCAGACTGAGGGACCCTCTGCCCCGCCTGGGACTAAACTCCAGAGTTGGGTGCTGCCTGAGAGAAGTGTCCTCAAGTCGGGCGCTTCACAGACATTTTTCAGCCAGTCTCAGAGTCGGAGATGGAGAGGCTTTTTAGAAAAGGCAGACAATCAAGCGCACGAAGCAAAGGGATGATTTTTTCCAACATCCAGTTGGTGACCTTCGGTCCTCATCCTAACCAAGCTGTTGGTCAGTTTTTACCCCTGAAGGTTTAAGTTCCCTTTTTCATTTAAGTTGCTTCATCCTGCTTTGCCTTTTTAAGTGCATAGAAGAGCTGTGAGGCGACAGTTAAAAGTCACCGAGCTGGCCTTAAAAAAATTACAGTAGTTTTATATATGTAAGCAATAACAATTTTAATCCAGCATTTTCATTTCACAAGTGACCCTGCTCAAAAAATCACACAGTGGCAATGGCAGAACTGGACTAGAATCCAGGGCTTTTCGCTCCCAGTCTCAGGCTTATTCATACATACCTTTCTTTTACAATTTATGGCTACAGAGTAGTTCCATATAAATTCTGACTCATCTCCCATATCAATGCAGGACAGTGATGCCAGTATTAGAGAGGAAAAAAATAAGGCCCAGAAAGTTTAAGTGACTCACTTAAGCACAGTGACTATGCTGGGAATAGTACCCAGGACTATTGGGTAGGGAAGGCTGTTGCCATTTCTGACTGCCTCATACAATTATATCCTCATTTTATTTCAGGAATGTCGGATTGCACACCCTGTTGTGAAGTGCACCTACTGTAGGACTGAGTACCAGCAGGAGAGGTACAGTTTTTGTTGACCATGAAAAATGTTAATAGCCTTTTTCCTCTTAAAATCTCTAATTGGTTGCATTTCAATATACAGATCTGTAATCAATTGCATTTTACACAGATTGTGCAGGTTTTTGTTTCTCTCCATGGAAATCTTTAGTAAAAGGTGAAAGATATAGCCCTGGCTTGGTGGATCAGTTGGTTGGAGCATCCTCCTATACACCAAAAGGTTGAGGGTTCGGGTTCGAATCTCAGTAAGGGCACATACTGAGGTTGTGGGTTTGATCCCTGGTCCAGGTGAATATGGGAAGTAGCCAGAGGCAGCAGATTGAAATTTCTCTCACGTCACTGTTTCTTTCTCTCCCTTGCTCTCTCTCTAAAAATCACTAAAAAACATATCCTTGGGTGAGGATTTTTTTAAAAAGGTGAAAGATTTATGTGATCTGAAGAGAAACTAGAGTATGATTCTGCAGTTCTTTATTATAACACATTGATGGGTATAAAAATACACATGTTCCCTAGCTATACATTGATAGCTTAAATTTTTTAAGTTAACTTTTTTCCCCAAATCCTTGATCATTTTATATTGTGGTTATGATCTTTATGACACTCAGAAACCACAAGAGTAAAACATGAGCCTCATGTTCCAGTATGTCTATATACAGAGTTTGAAGAATTTATGAGGCAAAGAATATACTTTTGGAAATGTGGCAATCCTGATAAAGGATTTGTTAGCCGTAGTCACATTTGAATTTCATTTTTCTCATTTTAGAAAGTGTGAAAAATGCTTAGGTGTGAGTGAACACACACCTTTTGGGGGGAGGGGGCTTTTCTATAGTAGCAATGTGGTTTGTTAGTATAGTAAGTTCAATTTTTGTGGAACTGCCCGTGTAAGTGATAGTGCCTTAAAAGCACAGTGAGGTCTATTTGCTAGCTTACACATGGAAACATATAGACTATACTCTAGAAGCTCTATTTTTTAGCTTTTATATTTAGGTTTAGGATCCATCTTTAATTTTTGTGTGTGGGGTGAGATATGAAGTTTGACCCTTTATCATACCATACATAAACATTAAGTCAAGATGGGCCATGGAAGTAGTTTTACTTTGTGTGTTTTCTACAATGTCAGGAGCATTTGTATACAATGATATATATCCCACCCCTTCAATAGTAAACCTAAGTATACATCAGAATGTTCGGCATCATAGAATCACTCATGCTAATCCTCTTTCTAGAGGTCTCTCAATGTACTTTACTTCTTGTACTGCCTTTTAAAAATGGCAGGAAGTTGTCTTGGAAAATATATTTTTTAATATCTTAGTTTAATTTAAATGTTTTCTACTTTGAGGTTGTCTGTTTTAACTTTATGGTCACTTTCATAGGAATTGTATGGTAAAATAATCATAACATAGATTTTGTGTGATTTTATTATCTCCAGACTATTGTTTAAACTGTTCTTGCACATCAAGCACTTGTTTGTACCTCCCTTTGTGAAGGGTTAGGCTTTATTTGAAGATGATTATCTCCCCCAAGGCAGTTTTATCAGTTCAGGCATTTAGGTAATAGTATGACCTCTGGTAAAAGACATTTTTATTTCTGTCAGTCCTTGGCTCTTAGAGAAATTGGAAATATTGACAGAATATTTGGTCATAGCATCTATATCCCACATCTGGGATTTCATACTCTTTTACTTACAGAGGCGAGCATAGATGGAGAAAGGTCAACATGGATAGAATCTCTGAGTTTATGTTCCAAACACATATACTTAATCTTAACTTCAAATTTCTCAGCTTTTCCTCTGAACTGAGAAGTAATTTTCTTTTTGCTAGTCCAATTCAGTCTAAAATAATATTCTTTTTTAAAAAAAAAAAAAAATTTTGTTTTATTTATTTATTTTTATTATTTATCTTTACCCAAGTTTTTTCCCCCCATTGCTTTTCAGAGAGAGTGGAAGGGAGAGAGAGAGAGAGAGAGAAACACCAATGTGAGAGAGACACATCAATTGGTTGCCTCCCTCACCCACGCCAACTGGGGCTGGAGATTGAGCCTGCAACCCTCGTATGTGCTCTTGGACGGAATCAAACCTGGGACCCTTCAGCCTGCAGGCCAACGCTCTAACCACTGAGAAAAACCAGTTAGGGCTATTTTAATTTTTTTTAAATTAACTTTAGAGAGAGGGAGAGGGACATCAATGTGAGAGAGAAACACCGATTGGTTGCCTCCCACATGTGCTCCAACTGGGGATTGAACCTGCAGCCTGGGTACGTGCCCTGACTGGGGATCAAACGCACAACCTTGGCGTATGGGGACGACACTCTAACCAATTGAGCTACCCGGCCAGGGCTTTAATATAACATTCTTTTGAGGATCCTCTCCATATCTGATAATTTTACTTAGAGATGTCATAATCATAAACAACTCACTATTTTAAACCAAAGCCTCATTTTATCTGAGTTAATAAAGTTAATAACTACAAGATAATTAAAAGAGCTATTGGCCAAGAAAAAAAATTAAACAAAAGAGCTATTGGCCATATATTCAACCTTCAGTTAACCAAATGTCCAGACTATATTTCACCTTAGCACTTAGCAATGAACAAATTCCTTGGGTTTAAGGAGGAATCAATGTTCAGATGTTCTAAGTAAAACAACTTTTTTCTTACAGAAGCCTTGTGTCTATTTCTTCCTTTACAGTAAAACCAGTACAATATGCAAGAAATGTGCTCAGAATGTGCAGTTGTATGGAACAGTAAGTAGTTTTCTGTGTACCTGATAGTGAGTGCTCAGGTCTCTTGGAACCTTACATTCTCTGGTCTATTAATTAGAAGAACTAGTTATGTATAAATACTTTCTCATAAAAACTTATCTAGTGTTTGAGCTTTACTCCACTAATACTTAGTTTTGAGGAGTTCTGTACTTATAGTCACTGTGTCAGGACTGCGATTATAATATCCTGAGAGACTCAGTAACCAGTGTGGAAAAAGGAGGAAAAGATGGATCCTATGACTTGCCTCTTTGGTTGCAGTTGACTGTCCATTTTGATTTTTCTCTCAATTTTTTTTCTCTCTCACAGTTAGGGTTCAGGGTACTGTGTCCTTGCAGGCATTTCTCCCAACATGTTTATACAATGGTAATGGCAAAGAGTCCTTTTTTAGAAATTTGGAAGCACTTGTTTGTTTCTTCAAAGAAATGGTTCTGTTGAATTTCTCATAGAAGTCCCAGTATATACACTAATTGGTTTTTGTTATTTGTTCATTTATTTATTTTAGAGTCGATAGTTCTCTGCATAAAAACATTTTACATAGTGTTAGGAATTGGGCTTTGCTTGATCAGTCAATGTAAAAGGAAACTTATGAAGTTGGAAATACAGTTTTACCATGACTAATGGACTATGTAATACAAATCATTGCTTTCAAAAAGGCATTGGTGTTTTATAATATACTTACTTGAACCTTTTTTCCTCTTTCAGCCCAAACCTTGTCAGTATTGCAATATAATTGCAGCATTTATTGGCAACAAATGCCAGCGTTGCACAAATTCAGAGAAGAAGTACGGACCACCATATTCTTGTGAACAGTGCAAGCAGCAATGTGCATTTGACAGGAAAGATGACAGAAAGAAGGTAAATCTCTGTGTTTTTCTTAATTTTTTTCTTTCATAGAAATTAAAGTGGGCCATAAGAAATTAAACTGTGTTAAAAAGACATAAATAGAGCCTTAGCCAGTTGGTTCAGTGGTTAGAGCGTCAACCTGCTGACCGAAGGGTCCCAGATTTGATTCTGGCCAAGGGTACATACCTTGGTTGCAGACTTCTTCCCTGGCCCTAGTTGGGGCATGTGCGGGAGGCAACTAATCGATTTGTGTCTCTCACATCAATGTTTCTCTCTCTCCCTCTCTCCCTCTCTCCTTCCCCCACTTTATCTGTAAAGCAATGGAAAAAATATTCTCAGGTGAGGATTAATTAAAAAAACAGAAAGATATGTAACAGAGATAATGTATTATAGAATTGTATACCTGAAACCTATATAATTGTACTAACCAATGTCACCCCAATAAATTCAGTTAAAAAACAAGACATATAATAGAAAGTTATCTCACTTCCACTCGTAGTTCTGTTATTGACCTTAAAGAAGATAGTCAACCTTTGTTTTCTTCATTATTAAATGTGGACCCTTACATCTAATATCTCATGAGTTAGTATTTCATGAGAATCTGTGTTATAGTGATCAGTATCCCACATAAGTGAAGTGGAGTAGTGATTGGCAGAATCCTATAGAACTCTGTAAAGGAGAGATTGTGATTCAAGGAAAAGAGTACTACTACCAGTTTTACTGTCTATTTATTTTTTTAAAATATGTTTTTATTGATTTTAGAGAGAGGAAGGGAGAAGGAGAGAGATAGAAGCATCAATGATGAGTCATTGATCGGCTGCCTCCTGCACAATCTCCAGTGGGATCAAGCCTGCAACCTGGGCATGTGCCCTGACTTGGAATCAAACCATGACCTCCTGGTTCATAGGTCAGTGCTCAACTACTGAGCCATGCTGGCCTGGCTATTTTATTTATTTTTACCCCTCACCCGAGGGTATGTTTTTATTATTATTATTATTATTATTATTGATCTGAGAGAGAGAAGAAAGGAGAGAGAGAAACATTGATGTGAGAGAGAAATGTCAATCGGTTGCCTCTCTTATGTGCACTAATGGGGATTGAACCCTCAACCTGGGTATGTACCCTGAGTGGGAATTGAACCTGCCACTGTGTTTTGGTGTATGGGATGGCAGTCCAACCCACTGAACCACACCGGCCAGGGCTTACTGTCTGACTCTTTAAATGTTTTTACCTGTTGAAGTTAAAGATCACAGGAAGATGACATAGAGGGAAGCTCTATGTGAAATGATAGTATTTTGGTGGAATCAAAATGGTTTAGATTTTTTTCTGTTTAAAGCTCTCCAGTGAGTTCCGGTTGCACTTAGAATAAAACTCAAACTCCTTCGATGGCTTACAAGGCCCATATCTGACTCTCAGTCTCATCTGCCATCACACTCCCCATCTCTTACTTTGTTCCAGCCACATTGGACACCTTTCAGTCCTTCAGACATGCCAATTTCATTTCCACCTTTGCACTGGCTGTCCTTTTGCCTGATACACCTTTCTCCAGAGTGTGTTAACTGATTTCTCCTGTCACGTCTCAGCTCAGATGCCACCTCCATACAAAGACCTTTTACTAACTCCCTTAGCCACTCTTTATCATAGTACCCTGTTTTATTGTCTTTGTAGCACATAACATTATGAGAAATTGTCTCATATGCTTAAGTGTTTGTCTACACCCACTAGAATGTGAGGTCTTTTTTCATTTTGTTCTCTGCTGTATTTCCAGCAATCTGTCACATAGTATATGCGCGTTCTCTCTCTCTATATATATATACATATATACACACACACAAATATATACACATATATGTCTGTCCACATATATGCATAGATAGAAATAGATTTTAGATTGATAAGAGTCATACTTTATTGAAAACTATCTCCTCTCCCTTTTTACTTGTCCTATCTGACATGGCTAAAATATTAATCTGAAATATATCTTCTAGCTTACTGTTATTTATTGAGAAAAAATTATGGTTCTCATTTTCTACGTCTTAAAAAGTGACTAAACTGATTGTTTTATTTTTTTACTGAGGTGTAATTGACATACAACATTATATTAGTTTCAGGGGTATAACAATGATTTGAAATTTGTTATGTGTTGTGAAATGATCACAGTAAGCTTAGTTAACATTCATCACCATTCACAGTTACATAATTTTTTTCTTGTTGATGAAAACTTTTAAGATCTACTTTCTTAGCAGCTTTCAAATACATAATACAGTGTTATTAATGATAGTCACCATGCTGTACGTTACATTCCCAGGCCTTAACTTATTTTATAACTGAAAAATTGTACCTTTTGACTACCCATTACTCCTACCTCCCACTCCTACCTCTGGCAACCACCAATCTGCTTTCTTCAATACTTTTTGAATGAAAATATTCAGCACAGAAACTTTTTCAGTGTCCATAGGTACTTTTCAGAGATGCTTAGGCTCTGAAGAGCTGACTCTTGATAACCAAATTCATTAATTTTCAATGGGAGGATATAACTTTCCAGTAACCAGAATACTCCTGCCTGCCAACTAGGGCACCTCTTCCCTGAATCAAGATACTGAAGAAGCTGAATTAGTAATCAGGAAGTAGCATATAATAATAATTGGAGCACAAGCTTTGCAGTTTCTCAGCCCTGGGCTAGCTGAATCGTCTGGAAAAGTTCCTCTTGTTATGCATCAATTTAATCATCTTTCCAGTGGGAATGACAATAGCTAGTTCATAAGGATATAGGAAGATTTTTTAAAAAAATATTTCTATTGATTTTAGAGAGAGGAAGGGAGAGGGAGAGAGAGATAGAAACATCAATGATGAGAGAGTCATTGATCGGCTGCCTCCTGCAGGCCCTGCACTGGGGAATGAGCCTGCAACCCAGGGCATGTGCCTTGACTGGGAATCGAACCGGGATCTCCTGGGTCATAGGTCAATCCTCAACCACTGCACCACGCCCGGCCAGGCAGATATAGGGAGATTTAATTGAGTTAGGTATATAAAACACTTCATTTTGAGCCTAGCACATAATATCACTCAATTAATGGTACTTATATTATTATTAATTAGATTACTAGAATCCATTAAGTTTCTACTTTCTTAGTTACAATCCTACCTTAAGAGTATGGATATTTTTAGGCATCCTCAATCACATGTTCATAAACTTAAGCAGAGTTTAGGGACTGAGGGTGGATGATCTGGATTCAGAATGCCTGGGCTGAAATCTTGGTTCTGTCACTTATTTGCTGTGTGACTTTGGGCAAGTTAATCTATCATTGCCTCAGTTTCTTCATCTGTGAATGAGGCTGATCAGATCTCATCATTGTCATAAAGATTGAGTTGTTATGTGTAAAGCCCTTGGAAAGGAATCTGGTACATGATAAGTACTCAACTGGTGTTATCTATGATGATTTCTTTCTTTTTTTTTTTTTAATCCTCACCTGAGGATACTTTTTCCATTGCTTTTCAGACAGAGTGTAAGGGAGGGAGGAAGGGGGTGGGGAGAGAGACACATTGATTGGTTGCCTCCGCACACACCCTGACCGGGGCTTGGAGCCTGCAACTGAGGTACTTGCCCTTGGCCAGAATCGAACCTGGAACCCTTCAGTCCATGGGCCAATGCTCTAACCACTGAGCCAAACTGGCTAGGGCTATGATAATTTATTTATGATACTTTAATTCTCAGAGGGTAATTTTTTATATTTTTTAAAAGCAGGCCTTCAGGCCATATCCATAACATGAAATGAACCAGACTGAAGTTTGGTTTCAAAATTCATTTATGTGTTCATTAACCAATAATTAAATGCTTATCATGTATCAGACCACTGTTCTAGGTATTAGAAATACACTAATGAACTAAACGGAAAAGACCTTACTCTCATAGAGCTTATATTCATGTGTATAAGAGAGAGACGGGTGAGAACAAACAAGGAAATAAATGAACCCAAATTTTAGATGTTGGTGTTCTAAAGAAACAGAGTATATGGTAGCAAATGACTAGGGAGGCAAGTTTAAATTGGGCAGTCAGGAGAACCTGCAAGGATATAACATCTGAGCTGAAAACTGGAATGATGAGAAGATAGCAGCCATGGTATTTCTGGAGGGCAAAGATTCCAGGAAGAGGGACCAGCTATGAAAAGTCCCTGAGGCAAGAGTGAGCTTGGCACATGGGAAGAACAGAAGGTAGAATGAACAAGGGGAAGAGAAAGGGAATGAGGTTAGAAAGGCAGGTAGGGGCTATATTTAAGTCAACACAGGCCATGGTAAAAAGTTTAGATTTTATAATAGATACAATGAGAAACTATTGGCTTTTAAAGAGAGGAGAGATGTAATCAGATTTACATTTAAGAAGCCCTCTTTAACACGTAGGTGAAAATGGTTTTTAAGAGCCTAAGAGTGGAATAGGGAGCTCTTTTGGGTGGTTCTTATAGTTGTGAGAGAGAAGAATGCCTTTACTTGGGTGGAAGCAGTGGAGTGGGATGATTCAGACTGATGGACTTGCCAATGGGTTAGAGGGTGGGGTACAAATTGGATTTTGCTAACAAGATAAAAATACTTCATTAACCAATAATTAAATGCTTATCATGTATCAGACACTGTTCTAGGTATTAGAAATACCTAGCCCAGCCTTCATGGCTCAGTGGTTGAGCATCGACCTATGAACCAGGAGGTCACGGTTTGATTCCCACTCAGAGCACATGCCCAGGTTTCAGGCTTGCTCCCCAGTAGGGGGTGTGCAGGAGGCAGCCGATCAACAACTCTCTCATCATTGATGTTTCTATCTCTCTCCCTCTCCCTTCCTCTCTCTGAAATCAATAAAAACATATTAAAAAAAAAAAGACCTCAGTGGTATGACCTACCCATGTTCAAGATGGGGCATAAGATCTAATTTCATGAATAAGACATGAAAATTAAAGTTCCATAAAATATCAGCACACTCCCTCCCCACCCTGAGTAACTCCAACCAGCTCTGTTTTCCAGCTACCTATACCATGCTGTCCCACAAATGATTTTGCAGTTAGTGCTGCACAGAGGCACCCTAGCTTCAGAGGATTTTAGAAGCTCCATTCTGCTTTCCTAGTCCTGTGCCCTGCTCCCTGGTGCAGAGCTGCTTCTGCCCAAAGGGACTAACTTTTTCTAATTCAGAGTGCCATGGTAGGCTACTATTAGGGACTGGGGCCCTGGAAACTACTTGCTCATAGGTCTTTTTTTGAAGACATTCTATCTGAGAAAAGATTTCTAGCATAACATTTTGTGAGCCATTTATAAGGTATTAAAACTGAAGTATAAATTTTATATTTTATCTTCTGTCTTGTCTTCTCTCTGCTGAATTTTTCTAACGAGCACCATGGAGATATTTGTCTTTTGAAATTCTTGCAACTTTGCTCTAGTCTCTGTTTGTTAAGTTGAAGAAAACCAAACAAAAAGATACATAAAATTAGCAACTCATATTTATTAAGCAATATTTATGTGCCTGGCACCATGCTTTACCCACATTATTTCACTAAATCCAACAGCCCTCAAAAGTAGTTACTATTATCCCCCATTTTACAGATGAAAAAATTGAGCCTGAGAGAGCTCAAGTGACTTGCCTAAGTTCACACAACTCATAGTGGCAGAGATGGGACTTAGCCCAGAGGTTATAGCTCCCTATACTCATGTTCTCTAGTACCCATGTACTTTGTTCCCTCCTCTTTATCTTTGTCTCCTTGTCTTTCAGGTAGATGGGAAATTGCTGTGCTGGCTGTGCACACTCTCATACAAACGGGTCCTTCAGAAGACCAAAGAGCAGAGGAAGCACCTGAGCAGCTCTTCCCGTGCCAGCCACCAGGAGAAGGAGCAGTACAGTCGATTGAGTAGTGGCAGCCATTATAACAGGTAACTCCAAGATGCATAAGATAGGACTAGAGGTGCTGATAGGTCAGATGTAATGCTCACACAATAAGCCATAGAAGGTACCATTTTGCATAAATTTTTCTGTTTTTCCCCTCTCTACTTACTAGCCCATAGGAGGAATGTCCTTTGTCATATTTTACAATTCATGCGTTTTCCAAGAGCCAGAAAGAATTCCATAAGGTGTCAGAATTTCCTGACTTGGTTTATGTTATGTCTGAAAAGTTTGTGGGATTTACTCTACTTTCACATGTAATGGTTCTCCTCACCCTTAGAGTGGGTTATCTCCCTGGAAGGTTGGACATTTTGCTTTCTGAGGGATGTAGCTTTTTTATGTGTATTTGGCCAGGAGGTTGATAGATGTTCTAGGTTTTTCCTGGTAGTGTTCTTAAGAGTTCTGACTCTAGATTGAATCCTGGCTTTTCCAGGTTCTCTGCATGAGATCTTGGGCAAGTTTTTTCATTTGTAAAATGAGAGAAATAATAGTATTACTTCATGGGTTTGTTGTTAAGATAAATTATATAGTTCATGCATAGTAATAGTTTTATAACTGACACATAGCAAGCATTCGATACATTTTAGTTACTCTTGGTTGTTATTACCATTATGATTTTATTCATCCAGCAGACGTTAAGTACTCTCATGGGCCAGGGACTCTGTTAGGGTGCATAGATGAATAAAAAAATCATTTCGCTGACCAAGAGTATGCAGTCTGATCGTTGCAGTATAATTCTGTGGAACCATAGAAACATTAACTCCACAGTGGAAACGTCAAGATACAGGCATGAGAGGCAGTAGTAATTAACTGCCTTAGCAAGTCAGGCAGTGAAGGCTGGGAGAAGAGCTGGTGTTGTAGCTGTATCTTAGGGTGAATCAGAATCATCAGATAAGGAACAGGCAGAGGTATCCTAGGCTGAGGAAATAGCATTTGCACAAAGACATGGAGAATATGGGACCACATGGAAGTCTGAGGAATTGCAAATCCTTTTATGTTACTGGAACTTATGGTTGGGAGCTGGGAAATGGGAGGAAAAGGAATTCTGCAGATCTGGTAAGGAACATGAACTTGATTATGGGGTCAATAAAAAAACCCTGATTATTGTGGAGAATGAATGGGAAGAAAAAGAGACTGGGGGCTAGTTAAGAAGCTATTTTTGTAAAGTCTAGGTAAGAGATGTTAATACAAGAACCTCATCGAGACCCTGACCTGTGTGGCTTAGTTGGTTGAGCATTGTCCCGTGCACCAATAAGTTGCTAGTTCGATTCCCAGTCAGAGCACATACCCAAGTTTCGGGCTCAATCCCCAGTAGGGGGCATGCAGGAGGCAGCCAATTGATGTTTCTCTCTCTCATCAATGTTCCTCCCTCCCTCCTTCTCTCTCCCTTCCTCTTTCTCCCTCCCTCCCTCTCTGTCCCTTCCCCTCTCTAAAATCAATAAAAACATATTTTAAAAAAAATATAAAACAGAAAACAAGAACCTCACTGAAGCAGTGGCACAGATCAAAGAGGCAGATTCAGGAAGATACTTTAGAGGGAGAATTAGATAATTTGATGAACACAAATGGGCAGGAGCTGGGTGTGTAAAGGATAATTCTCAGGTTTCTTAGATCCTTAACTTACAGAGAATATAGGAAGGGGAGAAGAGTTCAGTTTTGAAAAGGTGAGTTTGAAGCATCAAAAAGAATTACTTAGTGGGAGCTTAACTAGAACTCAGAAGAAGGGTTTGGACATGGTTCATTGGTTACACTTAAGAGTCAGTGGGAATAGAGATTATTCCTGTGGCCCCCATCTCAGAGTTTAACTTAGTAGGATCTAGGATAGAGTCCAGGAATCTGCATTGTTTTATAAATATCCCAGATGATTCTGGTGTAGGTGATCTGAGGAACACTATTTCCAACCACTGTGATGGGTAGTTGTTGATACAACTTAGGTTGGAGGCTGAGAGCAGAACTCTAGAGCATTCAAGAAGGATGGAATGAATATTTGTGAGCCATATATCTGATAAGGGGTTAATATCCAAAATATATAAAGAACTCATACAACTCAATAGCAAGTAAATACAATTAAAAAAGGGTAAAGGACCTGGATAGACATTTTTTCAATGAAGACATACAAATGGCCAACAGATACATGAAAAGGTGCTAAGTATCACTAATTGTCAGGGAAGTGCAAATCGAAACCACAATGAGATATCACCTCACCTATTAGGATGGTTGTTATCAAAAATATAAGAGATAACAAATATTGACCTGGTTGTAGAGAAAAGGGAACCCTTATACATTGTTAGTGGGAATGCAAATTGGTACAGTCATTGTAGCAGAAAGTATGGTGGTTCCTCAAAAAAATTAAAAATAGAACTACCATACAATCCAGCAGTCACTTCTGGGTACATACATATCAGAGGAAATGAAATCAGTATCTCAGATAGCTGCACTTTCACGTTCATTGCAGCATTATACACAATAACCAAGATATGCAAACAACTTAAATGTTCTTCGACAGATGAATGGATAAAGAAAATGTGGTATATATATACTGTGGAACATTATTCAGCCATAAAAAGGAAGGAAATCCTGCCATTTGTGACAGCATGGATGAACCTGGAGGGCATCGTGCTAAGTGAGAAAAGAGAAAGACAAAGACTGTGTGGTATCACTTTTATGCGGAATCTTTTTTTAAAAACCAATTTTATAGAAACAGAATAGAATGGTGTTTGCTAGGGGCTGGGGGAGGAGAAATGAGATGTAGGTCAAAGGGTATAGACTTTCAGTTATAAGAAGTTGTTGTGAGGATTTAATGTAGAGCAGTGACTAAATTAATATGGTATTATATACTTGAAAGTTGCTGAGTGTAGATCTTAAGCATTTTCACCATTAAAAAAAAAAAGTTAACTATGTGAGGTTATGGTTGTGTTAATTATCTTGATCTTGGTAATCATTCCATAATGTATGTGTATATCAAAACATTACATTGTACATTTTACATATTTACAATTATATTTGTCAATTATTCCTTAATAAAGTTGGGGGGATATGAGAATGGAATGGTCAGTGGTATCAAATATTGAAAAGAGATCAAGTAAGAAAGGGTCTGAGGCATCCTTTAAGCTTAGCAATTGGACATCCACTAAAGTGAAAGGGTTGCAGACCAGTTTTAGAGGATGAACTTATTAGGGCTAAAATGGATTTTTAGCATTGTTGTAGGACTTAGCTATCAGTAGATTCACAGAAACATAGTGAAGGAAAACTGGACTAGGAGTTCAAATATGTCAACCTGGTGTCTAGTCCCAGCTTTACTATTAACTAGCTGAATATTCCTGGGTAGCTCAGTTAACATTGATGAGTCTCAGTTTCTGCAAAGTAGAAATAATATCTTGTATATACCTCACAGATTTATAAGATGCATATGAAACACTGAATGTAAAAGTACTTTTTAAACTGTAAGGTTGATTATACTTCTTATTGAAGTTTTATTGACTGTTCTCATAGTTATTAATAAGGCAGGTAATATTTAATTAAGGCCAAGAATTTTGGGGGCCTATGGAAACGAGCCACCCATGCATCCAAGACCTATGAAATCAACACCTTGGTGGATTTTAATAATCAAAAATAAATAGCTCTTGCATAGAAGAGCTACATTACATTGGTCCCACTTGGCACTTTCATTGTGATGTTTTATTAATTTTTTTATTTCTAACGTATGTCTCTCTATTTTTGCCATTAAAAGCCAGAAAACACTTTCTACGTCTTCAATTCAAAATGAAATCCCAAAGAAAAAATCCAAGTTTGAGTCAATCACAACCAATGGAGACAGGTGAGCCAACTGGAGTGTGTGTGCATGCTTCCATTTGAAATGCATACACAGTTCCTGAAACAGGAATACATTTTAGGGTGTGCTTGGAGCTAATGTATGGTTGTCAGTGAACCTCTTAGGGTCACTATGCTAGCCATTTGATATCTTATAAACAAGCAGTATTTGTTTATAAATCTAATCTTGTCATTAAATAATAGGCAGGAACATATAACTGGATTTAATAGCAATCAAATTCTGCAATCCACAAATAACTCCACCACACAATTCTAAGAAGTCAATAGCTGAATGCCTTTCATTATGATCTGTGACTGTAACCTCCTCCAGGCAGGGCAGTACTCAGTCTCGAGAGGCTGAGCAGAGACGAGTTGGAGTTAAGGCAGTGTTGCTCAGTCTAAGAGATGACCTGTTCTTCCGTAGCCTACAGAAAGACAGTCCAATGCAGATGCTAGATCAGAAAAGAATGAAATGCATTTAAATATTTTTGTTTCATCTTGAACTTGTCTAAATGTACGTTTTTATGCCTATCATCCTTCCTCAATGCTGCTTCCTCCTATGAGCTGCACTGTCCAAATACCTGGAATGCTCCATCTGGGTTGGTGCAGTGGATTGCTTTCCAACAGAGTCTTGGGCCCCACCATTTTTTTGTTTCTCTAGGGCCCAGCATCCTGAGTGAGACCACCTGAGACACTGTTCCATAAATCCTTGGAATCATTTCCATTTTGAAGACTCCTCCCAATCTCAGTTCTCCCTTCCAGCCAGTAGTGGATTTAGGAGCAGACCAGCATATAGGCTTACCAGGGGTGAATTTTATTTATGTAAGGAAGTACAAAGCATCTGTGAGGTTTACTCTTTCTTATTACCTTTTTTTTAGAAAGAGGAAGGGTTAGACCTCCTGGGTATGTGCCCTGACTGGGAATCCAACCCACCACCTTTTGGTGTACAGGGAGAGGCTCCAACCAACTGAGCCACAGCAGCCAGGGCTCTTATTACCTTCTTCATTAACTTGATTTCAGACTCTGCAAGGTGTGTTTTTTGTTTTTTTCCCTCACCCGAAGATGATAGATAGATAGATAGATAGATAGATAGATAGATAGATAGATAGATAGATAGATAGATAGATAGATAGATAGATTTTTTTCTTGCCCACTGCTTTTCAGAGAGAGTGGGTGAGAGAGAGAGAAAAACATTGATTGGTTGCCTCCTGCACACACCCTGACTGGGGCTGGGGATTGAGCCTGCAACCCAGGTACCTGCCCTTGGCTGGAATTGAACCTGGGACCCTTCAGTCCACGGGCCAACGCTCTAACCACTGACCCAAACCAGCTAGGGCTGCAAGGTGTCTTAACAACTAGCATCACTGATTTTAAACTTCTTGAGTTGAACCTTCTGAAATGCTTAATTTAGATACTCAGATTACATGGGGGAAGGAACCATAAAGCCCTTCTATCTGGTCAGCTTTACTGTTCTCTGAACAGCTAACTTAGTCTGGCCATTCTGAAGAAAGTAGATGTGGCACAGATTATCCCATCATTTCTGCCAGGTACATGACCCTGCAAAGACTACTTCAGGGAGTCAACCTACCTGAATACCCTGCTTTATAAAGGCCTAAGCCAGGACCCACAGCCTTTAGAGTCATTTCTGTTTTATGTTCACTGATGACTCAGGCTGTGTTTGAATGACCTGGAAAAACTCATTTATATTCTTTAGTTTAACCAACCAGTTCTTAAAGTTCACCCTCTTTTAGTTTATTTTGTTTTGGAGTTTTTTTTCAAATACATATCTTTATTGATTTAAGAGAGAGGGAGGGAGAAGGGGAGAGAGAGAAACAAACATCAATGATGAGAGAGTAATTGATTAGCTGCCTCCTACATGCCCCCCACCAGGGATCAAGCCCACAACTCGGGCATGTGCCCTGACTAGGAATTGAACCTCAATCTCCTGGATCATAGGCTGATGCTCAACCGCTGAGCCATGCTGGCTGGGCTGTTTTGTTCTTTAGATACTGCCACTCACTATTCTTGCTGTCCATTGCTATGGATATGCCAAGTGAAAAACTTAAGCTTTCTGTTCAGTGTTTTATTGCACCTGGTCACCAGCAGTGATTGTTTTCCTTAAGTAGGATGCTGATCCTTAAAACTTAGGTACATAGTTTTTTATAATGTCCTCTGGAAATGATCTTAAAAAAAATTTTTTTTTCTTGTAATATACATGCTAATTTTAAAAATTAATTTACCCTAATAACGGGAAAATTTTGAAAATTTTTCTGCTGCCACAAAAACTATTTTCATACATATACAAGTTCTATTTGAATGTCCTGAGTTAGCAATCTTAATCTATTCCACTTGTTTGCATGTCTTTTAAAAATTCATAGTACAAGGTTGCCCTGGCCAGGTGCTCAGTTGGTTAGAGCATCGTTCCAATATGCCAAGGTTGTGGGTTCGATCCCAGGGCAAGAGAATCAACCAATGAATGCATAAATAAGTGGAACAACAAATAGATATCTCTTTCTGTCTCTGTCTCTCTCTCCCTCCCCCTTTCTCTTCCCCCCCTTTCCCCCTCTCTCTAAAATGAATGAAAGTTCATAGCACAAGGTAAATTACATTTTTCCTTTTTCTTTTTTGTTCTTTTCTTGCTTTTCCTTCACTTTATTTTTTGGTCTTTTTTACTTTTTATTGAATTTATTGGGGTGACATTGGTTAATAGCATTATAGCAGTTTCAGGTATACAGTTCTGTAATACATCATCTGTATATTGTGTGTTCACCACCCACTTTCCCCTTACTTTGAAAACATTCTGACCATCCTTTGTTTTTCTGACAGTTCCTTTTTAATATCATGCAAACCAAAACTTTTTTACTGACTTGAATTCAATTCTCTACCAAATGTTACCAGTATGGTTTCTGAACTCTCTATCCTTGTACTTCCTTCCAGTTTGTTTGTTTTTAATCCTCACCTGAGGATATTTTTTCCATTGCTTTTCAGAGAGTGGGGGGAGGGGGGGAGAGAAAAAGAGAAACATTGTTGTGAGAGAGACACATTGATTGGTTGCCTCCTGCTAGGGATCTAGCCTGCAGCTGAGGTATGTGTCCTTGGCTGGAATTGAACCCGGGACCCTTCAGTCCATGGGCCGAAGCTCTAACCACTGAGCCAAACTGGCTAGGGCTGCTTCCAGTTTTTAATTAATCATAATCTACTTTCCCAAACCCACTTTTAAAATATTTATACACTTTTAAATTTATTTTCCAATTCTTTCATTTTATCCCTTTGCTTCGTGTGCAGGTTGCTCTCTAACAGTTTCCATAGACCTTTCTGTACTACCACATTCTCCTCTCATGCATTTTTTAAATATTGAGGCAGATTTGAGGGTTGTTTTTTCTTCTTTTATTCATTAGCCTCCCATATCATACAGAGAGAAAACATTACTGTAGGGTTTTTTTAAACAAAACCATTTCTCTAATGATTTTATACTTATAAAATGCCTTGCCCTTTTTTTTAAGTATTCTGCATACTTCACAGCCTCCTTGTTGTATTTTCTAGTCTGTTGAAATTGTAATAAAAACTTTTTAATTTGAGGAAACCTGAGTTCATTTCTAGCTTTCCTTCCCTGAGAAAATGCACCAGTTATTTTTTTATCATAAAAGCACTCAACAGGGTGACACCCAGGTACACCTTAAAGTTTATTGTTTCTAAAGGACATTCTTTTCCTTTCCTTGTAGTTTTGTTTTATTCTCCATCTGAAATGTGCCTGAAGGATTAGATGTACTCTGTGTGTCCTTTAAGGACAGACACAAGACCAATGCATAGGAATGACAGGGAGTCAGTTTTGTGCTCAACCCAGGGAAGATTGTTCTTATATTTAATATAAGCTTTTGGGAAAGGCAAGAAGCTTCCTGGAGAAATAGTAAGTTCCCTGTCATTGGAGGTATTTGGAAAGATACCTGGATCTGATTTTCTGCCTTGCTAACCTACCCTCTTTTTTCATTTTGATTCCTAGCAGTCCTTATTAATCAAAAGAGAGTTGGGAAGGTCAGGGCCTAACACACAGAATAGACATGACTAGTTTTGTTAACAATTTAAAGGAAGAATCCTCTCTCAAGAAGCAGATAGAGCACAGCATTAGGAGTTTTTGGGACAACAAGAAATTGTTTATACCTGCCCCTTACTCAGTTTCATTCTCTGATCTAGTTATGGGTTTAAACATTCTGTTGGGTTGAGGGAAGACAGTCCCTTGGCAGGTATTGAAACTAGTAGAGACTGTAATGGGACCTTTCAGTATTTTCTCCTGCATGCCTTGTTTTATTATTTTGTATTTAGTCTTTGTTACCTAGTAAGTCTGCATATTCATCAGTAATTAAAACTTTGGTCCATTTTTCTTCTGACATTCTCATATACTTCATATAGACTGAGGAGGGAATATTCTTTTTTTTTAAAATATATTTTTTATGGATTTCAGAGAGAGGAAGGGAGAGGGAGAGAGATATAGAAACATTGACGAGAGAGAAACATTTGTCTGCTGCCTCCTGCACGCCCCTACTGGGAATTGAGCCCACAACCCAGGCATGTGCTCTGATGGGGAATCGAACTGGCAACCTCCTGGGGCATGGGACTCAACCAACTGAGCTACACCTGCCGGGCAGGGGAAATATTCTTGTCAATGGATGTCTCCCCATTGTAGCCATAGAAATGTTTGACTTGGTAATTATGAGGAAGTATGTCTGGTGGTTTGGCTTGCTATTTGGAGCTTCCACCTGTGTAGAGAAATGCTGGTTGATGTGGTTTAAGATATAGGAAAGAACCAACAGCAAGGGGAACCTAGAATTATTGCTATATTGATATAGGGAATTAGGAATCAATATTTCAGTGTCCTCTTAGGTAAAACAGGTTTGTGTTTAAAGGTTGCCCTGGGAAAAGTGAAGTGCTTCCTTTGTGAAGTCTCTAGAGAAGGGCAGGATTTGACCCTCTTAGCAGTGATTCCCTACCTTGTTTTGGGTCTAAGACACCTCTGATCAACCAGTAAAAGCTATGGATCCTCAACCTAGAAACCACTCATTGTGTGTATACATAGAATTGTACATACAATTTCAGGGGGTTACAGATTCCCTGAAACTAATCCTAGTTAGGAGACTCTACTAAAAGGACAGAGTTCATCTGGCACTTTGACAAAAGGAAGTGCTCAGACACTGCTACTGGGAGGAATCTGTTGAAAATCCAGGTTGTGATTGACTCAGGAGTTTGCCACCTCTTTGTTCCTTTCCTAATTAAATGTCACAGAATTCTTGCTCCGGCTGGGTGGCTCGGTTGGTTAGAACATCATCCTGAAGTGCCAAGATTGCAGGTTCAATCCTTGGTTGGGGCATGTGCAGGAATCAATAAATGCATGAATAAGTGGAACCACCACAACAAAATTCACAGAATTCTTGATATTGGAAGTGGCAGTCTACAGGCCAATTGTAGTGTAGGGGAGGTTGGCTTCCTTCCTTTTAAATTCATCTTTTTATCATTTTTTTTCTTATTTTTTTGCTAAAGATGTCCTATATGTGTATTACATATATGTAATATTTTAAAATGTCATTGAGCATATACATTTCTTTAGCTTTTTCCAGGGAATGTTGTACCTAAGTTCATCTTCTTTTTATTGTTTTTAAAAAGGACTGACTGTTCATTCCTGGGATGGATTGCAGCAGCTCCTCAGCAGCTGCACCCTATCACAGTGCTTTGGGTCAGAAAAGGGAATCAAAAGAGGAGCTCTATGGGAAGTGATAAAGAAAAACGCATGTGCTTACACTCGATCGTTCGTCCCAATTCTAGGGAAATTATCTAATTACAAATAAATGATGACTGTTTTACCCATAAATAATTGGAGATCTTCAATGAACCTGAATCGGAATACCTTGGTTCTTGTCAAATGGCATTTATTTTAGTCCTGAATGTGAGAGAAAATGCTGGTATAGTTATCTGATGAGCACCTTGTCTGTGCAGTTTAGCAATGCTGTTGAGTCTGATGTGTATGGAGCATTGTGCTTAATGCTGGGAATTCAAATAGTTGCTCCTGCCTTGAGCTTGCAGTCAAGTGGCCTACAGTGTGTCCTCAGGTAGAAAATAAGGTTTGTCAAGCATTTACTTCGGTCAGATGGGATCTTGCTTCCAGGTGTATCTTCAGTTTGGCTCAAATAAACTCTTATAAAAATTCAGGGGGGAAAAAAGAAAAAAAAAGTTTATCCATCCAAGTTGTAATTCTTTTTCCTATCCATTTTCCTACTCAGCTTTTCCCCAGACCTGGCTCTGGACTCACCAGGCACTGACCACTTTGTCATCATTGCCCAACTGAAGGAAGAAGTGGCCACCCTGAAGAAGATGCTGCATCAGAAGGATCAAATGATTTTAGAGAAAGAGAAGAAGGTATGGTTTAGTTAATGCCTCTCAGGCCAGAATGATGCCAGGGTAAGCTGTGTGGAATGGGGCATGATGCTAACTCTATTTAACTGATATTAGTTGGGTACTTACCATTGATGCTTTGAGAGAGATCCAGTGGCAAGGTTGGGATGTCCTGGGGAGAGGCTTACTGTCTGCCAAGATGACTCATAGCATGGTATTACTGTACTGGATCTACCTCAGTCAAGTGGGTTTAGAAAGTTGATTTTCTCAGCATTTGGAGGGAGCTTCCATTTCTCAGGGAGAACTCATGTTAACCAAGCTTACAGAGAAGATGTATAAAACCACAATGCTCCCTCTTAATTCACAGTGGGGCATGCAACTGAGTACTATTTCTCTCAGCATGAGCTTGGAAGGTTGTAATCAGAAAGTGCTAAATGAGCATGGAGTTGGGATAGGAGGAGGTAGTTATGTAATTGGAATTTTTAATGCTCTCAGGCTAAGAGAACCTGATGCCTCCATCTCTGTTATTGGGATGGCATGTCCGTGGGACAGTAATACTCAAAATATGTGGGCGAGGTCTCCCTTCTCCCTGGACAGTGTTCAGGTAGGCCTTCCTTTATGACTCTTGTGTCACTTTGCTTCCATTGCTGACAACTTCCTTCCTGAGTGACCCACTCTTTAAACACATTGTGCTCACTTTGGCAGCACATATACTAAAAATGAAACAATACAGAGAAGATTAACATGGCCCTGTGCAAGGACGACACATAAATTCATGAAGTGTTCTACATTTAAAAAACAACAGCCCTAGCCAGTTTGGCTCAGTGGTTAGAGCATCGGCCCAGGGACTGAAGGGTTGCAGGTTTGATTCCAGTCAAGGGAACGTACCTTGGTTGCAGGGCTTGTGCAGGAGGCAACCAATCAATGTATCTCTCTCATGTTGGTGTTTCTCTCTCTCTGTCTCTCCCCATCCCCTTCACTCTCTAAAAAATCAATGGAAAAAATATCCTCAGGTGAGGATTAACAAAAAACAACAACACATTAATATCTTCAGTAAATTCTTATTCTGTTCTGTGAGTCATCCTCCCTCTTTAAGGAGACTTTTTACATCCTTGTTCTGATTCATGATGTCTGGTATTTCTTATTTTCACATTCTTAGAGAATATGTCATTTCTGCCTTACTGTATTAATGAAATAATAATAGTTAACTTCTGTTCGATGCTTACTATGGGCCTGACTCTATTCTAAGTACTTCATATGTATTAACTAACTTATCCTCATAATAACCCTTTGAGGTAGGAATTATTATTATCATCATTTTATTTTTTTTAAATGAAGTCTTTTTAAATTTTTATTGATTGATTGATTTGAGAGAGAGAAAGAGAAAGAGAAAGAAACATTCATTTGTCATTCCATTTATTATGCATTCAATGTTTGATTCTTATATGTGCCCTGTCAGGGGATCAACCCACAACCTTGGCTAATTGGGCCGACATTCTAACCAACTAAACTCCCTTGCCAGGGCTATTATCATTTTATAGATGAGGAGTGCCTCCAGTATTTTTTCTCTAGGGTTCCAATTCATTCAACTAGCTGTTTTACCCCTGAGCCTGTGTATTGTCTTGTACCAAGTTTGGAATGCTATTATTCATTCCAGTGGCTAATAAAGACATTTATAACTTGAAAACCTTCACATGCAGTCTTTCAATCTAATTTCTACCTCATTTTATAGATGAGGAAATGGACCCAAAGTAAGTAATGATGTATCCAATTCACACAATTAAGTAAATGGCAGAAAAAAGGAATGAACCTCGTCTTTCCCACTGTACTGTTCTTTCTACTGTGTGTGCTTTCTTCTTTCAGTAAGGTGGAGATTCACGGGAAGGGACCAGTATGCTTCCCACTTTACTATATGACTGTCAGATGAAAGTAGACCCAAGTATATCTTCTTCAAGGACTAGATCAGAATAGCACATAAAAGGATTTTTGCAAAATAGAGACAAAACGAACACTTGTTTCTACTGCTTTATGAAGTTAGGCTTTTAAAAGGAGCAAGAACAAGTAGTAGATTGTTCCCTATAACTTTCAGGATTAAGGTCACACTCCGTGGCTTGGAATGCAGACTCTTCCATATCCTGCCTGCCCATCTCTAGCCTCATCACCTGTCATTCCCCACACTCATCAGTCATTGGAACAAGCTCTTGGTTATCTCACATTCTCTGCCTATGCCCTTGCTGTTCCCTTTGCTTGGGTGTCCTCCTTCCCTCATGTTCCAGTTGCTGCTTATACCTCAGAACTCAGCTCACACCTCATTTCTCTGATTTAAGTATCTCTTCTCTGTGCTCCTTGAATAGCATAGTCAACAAAAGGCCTTAGGTTTGAATTCTAGCTCAGCCACTTGCTAACATGTATGATCTTGGCTATGTTACTTAACCTTTTCTAAGCCTTGGTTTTCCCACTTGTAAAATGGGAAGAAGAATATTACCCCCTATGGGGTTATCATAGTATTTAATGAATTGATGTAATCAGTTTTCTTGGAACAGGGTAAAAATTCAGTACATGGAAGCAGCTATTATTCTCATGGTTACTCTCAAACCATCAAAGTGCATTATAATCACTGATTTATTTGGAGGTATACATGAAAATTTTAAAAATCTGCTAGTGGTTAAGTATCACAAATACTACTTCAGGATTTTGTGTAATTTTTAGGAACTCTTTAGAAAAAATAGGATATAGAATTCCCTGGCTTTGATTTAAGTATGGCTCTTCAGGAAAGCCCTGTATTTTATTAATTTGGGGGACCATTTAGCTCTCTGATACTGAAACATTTTTCATTGGACAGAAATTTCTTCTGGTTACTCTGCCTTTTTCCCCTCAGATCACAGAGTTGAAGGCTGATTTTCAATACCAAGAATCTCAGATGAGAGCCAAAATGAACCAAATGGAGAAAACCCACAAGGAAGTCACTGAACAATTGCAGGTGATGACTGCTTATTTTATGTGGTAACTTGTGTATTTAGCTGATTACATTTTAAGTGATCATCTCTTAGATTTCTTTTTTCTTTAAGTATTGACAAATCACTTTAATCTACCTTATATATGTCTTTTATTGTTTCACTTTTAGATGTGTTCTGATCTTTTCCCCTCAAAAACAGTGTAATTAATGTGTTCTTTGAATTTGGGAAAAACCAGATGTGATTCCAGATTTCTGAATTATAAATTCTGGTTTATCCAGCATATTAGGGCACTCCATGGTTTGCTTGTGTTGCATAAAACATCCTTTTGTAACAGTGGATTCCAGGAGATTGAAGTATACTGATTACCCTCCAGCAAATATCTTCTTTTCCCTGAACCTAGCTCTAGAGCTTTCTGTTTTCTCTAAAATTTGTTTATCTCTTCCTAACCCTCTACATCTGCCTTAGCATCTGCATGAAAAACATATCCTATCCTGTTAAAACATTCTTCTTGCACTGATTTTTTTTTTTTTTTTTTAAGGCCAAAAACAGAGAGCTCCTGAAGCAAGCAGCTGCCTTGTCCAAGAGCAAGAAGTCAGAGAAGTCAGGAGCTATAACCTCTCCGTGAGAGACCACATGGAGGTTCCCAGCAACAGCAAATGTATTCCTGGGTTAGGGTTGGCGACTTGGGAACTGCAAGCTTTCTTAAGAAATCTCTATTTTATTACAGTTACCCTTTATGTGATTGCAGCGGCCTGAATGGAAATACCTGGTTTGTGCTGTGTTAGGACTGCATGCGTGAATGTTCGGGGTTTTAGGCTTTCTCTCTCTCTCTCTCTCTCTTATTCTCCCAATCCTCTCTTCCCCCTTTTCCCCACCTTGTCAGTACTACTAGCTCTCTTGCTCAGTACTACTCTTTTCTGCTTCTTTTTCTTTTTTTATGGTGGTTACTGCTCAGTGTTATGTGCAGAATGATTTTTGTCCATCGTTGCATCCTGCCATACCCATGAGCAAATAGTTTTGGCATTAATTTCATATCACTGCCACCCTCTGAACTTTGAAAACTGCCACCTTAAGACTTGGTACAATGGATGAAGCTTTCTCCAATAAACCTTTTGCTTCAGGGTATACTCTTGGGTTTATTTCCAGGTATATTATGTATGAACTTTGTACTATGTATAGCCAGAGTTTTATTTATTTTTTAAAAAAAAGAAATTTTCTTGATAAAGAAATAATGGTAGCCTAGCTTGTTCTTCTTGTAAAAGTGATGCCTCTTTTTTAAAAAGTCCTACTCTAGCTTTTAGTAAAAGAATCAAATCTTTTTTTTCTTTTTACCTTGGAGTCTTAAAAACTGATTGTTAAGGTAAAACAATTCAGTGCATAAGTATGGAGTTAAGTGCCTTTTGGAGGGTTTCTTGGAAGAGCGTTTAAGAAGATACTTAGGGAGGTAGCAAAGATTTGAATGGTCTGTCTTTATAAGTAAGGGCAGAAAGAAAGGTTGTCCAGGTTGTACTGGACACTTCCCTCCCCCACCCCTTTCCTGATTGTTTTTATGTGACTGATTTTAAATTCTCAAACTGCCACTTCTTTAAAAAACAAACAAACAAAAAACCCTATATCAGTTATCAAACTTGGCCATTGTCAGAGAACGTTGTTTTTTTTACATGAGCAGATTAAAAATGGGATAATATTTAAACTAGAGAGCATTTTGAGGGTCAGTACAGGCTGCTCAAGTATGGACTCTGAGTGTGGTTGAAAGGAATGATATCACTGTAACTTCTCCGCACTCCTCCTCACCTACCCCAGCCTGTACACTCCCTGCTTTTAAAAACAGAAATGTATTGAAAACAGGTGCTTCCCAGAAGCAGCTTGGTCTTAGCCAGAATTGTTCATGTCCTGTTTTCCCTCCCTGACCCAATAAGCAGGCACATGGATTTACTTTTCTGGAAGAGGGGGGGATAAGTTTGCATTTCTAGCCATACTCTCAGGTCCTTTATATGATGTTTGTGAAAGAAATTAGAGATGTGTAGCATGCCATGAAACAGTAATACCAACTACCTTGGAATCATTAATGCAGGGAGTATTGAGTTAGAGGTAATTATGAGGGCAGATGACATTTGTACCTCAGCCTACCAAAATTATAGCATAAGTTTAACTTACTAGACATTTCTTAGAAGCAAACACTTGTAACTTGTGATAGCATTCTCACAAGTGGAGCCATGCATATAATGGGACAGATGTGGAAATGGATGGTTTCCTTCTGATAGGAGAAACAATGGACCAGGTTGTTTCTGTATCCCTCTAGTAGGGGATGTAATTTTTCCTTCCAAGCAAAGGAAATGGCAGTGCTAAATAGTTTTGTAACTTTTTGAATGAGAAACTTTTAGGTAAAGCCAAGCGGTCAGATAATATTTTTCAAATGCATGTACGTTCACTGTGGGGAAAAGATTGTGAAAAAAGTTACAGTCATGGTTTTTGTTTTTCTTAATTTTAAAGACTTGAGAAATTCTGTTATATGAAGTGACAATATAAAAACATATTTAGTTTTATACTAAATCTTTTTTTAAGATCTTGGCACTTAATATGAATCAAATTCACACATTTTGTAACTTTCCACAAGTTCTAAAAGGGGAAGGAAGAAATCTCAGTCTTGCAATTTTGGTTTTTAAAAATCATGACACCATTTTACCATGAAATTGAGTATCTAACTTTTGGTAACACCTTTTGTTTATTTGTATGTTTGTAATAATGGACATTTTAAACATAGGAATGTTTTGGTTTGTACAGACTTTGACAAATGTGTGTTAATAAAAATTCATATTGACTCTAGTATAATTGTTAGTGGGTTTTTTTTCTCATTTATTTCTTGATGGTTCACCAGTAAATCCTGTTATCCCCTTCAACTTAGAAAACAGTTTGTCTTGCTTGTTGACTTAAAAAATTAAAGCCTGCCCTGGCCAGTGTGGCTCAGTTGGTTGGGCATTGTCCCATGCCCTGAGGGGTTGCTGGTTCAATTCTTGGTCAGGGCACCTGCTGGAGTTGCAGGCTTAGTCCCCAGTGTGTGCAGGGAACAGCACAGTGGGCGTTTTGCTCTCACATCGATATTTTTCTCTCTCCCTTTCCCTTTCCCTCTAAAAAAATATGTTTTAAATAAATTTAAAAGTCTAACTATGCTAATAGGGAGTTTCATGTCCATCAGAGAACAACTCATTCTCTTTCTTCTGTAATTTTATGTATCCAGTTTAAGTGTTTGCTTTGTTATAAGCACTGTGCTAGGCAATGAGGATACAGCAGTGACGAAAATCAACCAAGTTACCTCATGGTCTTCCATTTAGTGGAATATTGAACAATACCATTGTCCCTTGATCTTATATTTATCATCATTATTCAAAATACAATATAGGAGGAACCTTAAGGTATGAGTGAGAGGTTTATGAGATGCCATCTCAAGGACAAGAATGTTAGTTTGAAGCCTTGGTGTTAGTAGTTTTAACAGGTGCCTTTCAGGTATTGTCACTGTCACATCCTGGTCATTCTTTTTTATAGACTCAATGGCAACTTATTTTCTCTAAATAAATGGAATATAGTTTTATTTTGTAGGTGCTATGGTCTGAATGTTTGTGTTCTCCTCAAAATCCATATATTGAAACCCTAATCCCCAAACACCATAGTGTTAGGAGGTGGGGCCTTTGAGAGGTGCGTAGGCTCTGTCCTCATGAATGGAATTAGTCCCTTTATATAGGAGGCTCCAGAGAGAGGTTCCCTTGCACCTCCACCAGAAGGAGCCAGCCAGAAGGAGCTGGTGTGAACTAGAAAGGGCTCTTATTANCATGAGGACACAGCCAGAAGGAGCTGGTGTGAACTAGAAAGGGCTCTTATTATAAGGTAACCATGCTGGCATCTTGATTTTGGACCTTTCAGCTTCCAGAACTAGGAGATATTTCTGTTGTTTATAAGCCATCCAGTCTGTGATTTTTGTTATATCAGCTGAAACAGACTAAGACTGTAAGCTATGTTTATGACCACCTTTATTGTGTGTTATCTTAATTTATACATTTGTTCAGCCTTGTGCATTTGTTTAACAAAAAAAGACCAGCCCAGCCAGTGTGGCTCAGCAGTTGAGCATTGACCTATGATCCAGGAGATCACAGTTTGATTCCTGGTCAGGGCACATGCCTGAGTTGCACAGGCTCGATCCCCAGCAGGGGGCATGAGGAAGGCAGTTGATCAGTGACTCTCTCATCGATGTTTTTATCTCCCTCTCCCTTCCTCTCTCTCTGAAACCAATAAAAACATTTAAAAAAAAAGACGAAAAAAAAAGACCAAACCCTTGGCTGGTGTGGCTCAGTTGGCGTGTCCTCCCGCGCACTGAAGGGTCGTGGGTTCAATTCCCAGTCGGCACATACCCAGGTTGCCATTCGATCCCCAGTTGGGGTACGCGCAGGAAGCAACCAATCGATTTTTCTCTCTCTCCCTCTACCTTCCTCTCTAAAATCAATTAAAAAAATATATCCTGGAGTGAGGATTCAATTTAATATATATATGTATATATATATGGCCAAACCACTGAGATACACAACATCATAGATAAATCCCCAAAACATCATGTTAACTGAAATGAGCCAAACACTACAGAATACATCAAGTAGGATTTCATCACTATGAAGTCAAAGAACAGGCAAAACTAACTTGTAGTGCTAAGAACCAGAAAGTGCCAGGCTGGTGTGACTCAGCGGCTGATCATCAACCTAGGATCCAGGAGATTGAGGTTCAATTTCTGGTCAGAGCACATGCCAGGGTTTCGGACTTGGTCAAGTAGGGGACATGCAGGAGGCAGCGGATCAATGACCCATCATTGATGTTTCTTTTTCCCCTCCCTCTCCCTTCCTCTCTGAAATCAAAAAAATATATTAAAAAAAAAAATCAGAAAGTGATTTCTGGGGATAAGTGGAATTGATTAGAAAGGAGCATAGCTCAAGGAAACTTTCTGGGGTGATGAAAATTTTCTATATCTTGATTTGGGTGGTGGTAACATGGGTATATACAAGTGTCAAAATTCATTGAACACTTAATATCTGCATTCTATTGTGTGTCAATATAACAATAACAGAAATATAGAAAAGTGCCTCTTAGTCCTAAAAAATGCTATTATGAACATTCCTATTCTTGGTGTTTGGAACAAGTATGTGTGCATAGCTGTTGAGGATATAGTTACTGGAACTGCTGAGCCATAGAGTATGTATGAATCACACACAGCTCAGCAACTTAATAGCTGTATGACATTGGGCAAGGACCCAGAACCTCTTGAGAACACCAGTTTCTTTATCTGATACCAAGGAGGTAATCTCGTCTTGATGGGTGCCAACCATGAAAACTGTTTTTGTCAATTAACAAAAGGACATGATGCTGAGAAGCCTTATTCTCTAAAATCACAGATTTCAGAAAACTTGCAAATTGAAATGTCAGTAAGAATGGAACATTCCACTCTTGCCTGGAAGGATCTGAGTTACTTTGATACAGAGAAGCAGCCTCAATTTCCAACCCAGGTGCAAAGCTTCAGATAAGCGGTTTCTAGATACAACATTCCACATTTATCTTCAGCTTGTAGTTTCCATGGAAACAGTTCTTTTATCAGCTCAGGCCTGATGAGAATCCCTTTACAAATAGCCTGGTGTGCTTTGAGGCTATGTCAAAACACCACTTCTTTTAAATTTTACCTACACTCCATCCTTTCCCCAAATCCTAGAATAACTATCTCTTCCTGTGCTTGGTGTGATGCTCCATGATTTTTCTGGTGAGCAGTCTCCCTTACAGCGTTAACAAACCTAACTTTGTCAGACCACAGGTGGTCTTTATCACATGGGCTTTATCGTGGGGCTTACTGATTAATGTTTGTAAAATTTGTTCACATTGTCTGAGTAGGCGTTTAAGAAACTAATTTTTTGTTATTCATGTATAAATTTTGTAAATGTTCATTTGACATCTAGTATTTGCAAGGCACAAATGTATTGCTATTAAAGAATAGCACAAGGCCCTGGCCAGGTAGTTCAGTTGGTTAGAGCATTGTCCTGAGATGCCAAGGTTGTGGGACAGTCAGGGCACATACAAGAAACAACCTTCCCTTCCACTCTCTCTAAAAATCAGATCAAATAAAAAATGGTTTTCCATCTGTGTCCTGTGTTATCTTCTCTTTTCTTTTTTAAAATTGATTTGAGAGAGAGGAACATTGATTTGTTGTTCCACTTATGTATGCATTTATTCGTTGCTTCTTGTATGTGCCCTGACCTGGGATTAAACTCACAACCTTGGCATATGGGGACGATGCTCTAACCAACTGAGTTACCCAGCCAGGGCAAATGACCACTTTTTATTTTAGATGGGGAAACAACAACCACTGTGTCTTCAATTGTTAGGAGAAAAATACATTTACAGAATTTCCCTTTACAGAGAGTCAAATGTAAATGAAAACATTCTAAAGACTATTTTATAGTTTTAAAAAGTACAGTTTACTATAAGTTGACATAAAACTATGGAGTCTAAGAAACGTTAGGGTTTTAACCAGAGTGAGAGCCCCCAAATGTTATCTGTCCCTTCCTATAGAGAAAGAAATGCTCTTATAAATGCTCCAACAAAAAATAGAGACAGACTACCTTACAAAAGCTCTAAGGCTGAGTGCAGGCTCATTCACCCATTTGGGGTCCCTTCTTGCACAGGCAAGCAGTTTCCTGTCCTTACCATTCCCCAGAGAATGCAAAGCAGGCTGGGGTGGGGTGGGGTGGGGTGAACACAGGAAACAAACACAGTCAGTTCCCCTTCACTTCTTCCTACCTTGATCTCCCAAACCCAAATCCTACCCATGTTTTCCATTTACGGTAAGCTCACAAAATGCAGTCTTCTATGGGAACACTGAAGTCATACACTCCAAATTACTTAAGGAAATGATTTAAAAATTTTCAGGGTTAGGATCTCCAAGAACTCTTGGTTTGGGATATAGATAAAGAGGCTATTTGGAAGAGATTTAGATGAAGAATGAATTTGGGACTGTGAGAATGAGTTTTAGGAAAGTAGTGAGATGACAATGGAGTTAGCTTAGAGTTTGGGTTTTGTAGTCAAATCTCAGATAAGCAAAGTAACCTCTGTGGTCTTTATTTTCTCAATTGTAAAAGGGAAAATAATAACACTTATTTTGTTCGGTTATTTTACTTTAACAGTTTAAAAATCGATTGTTCATTATCTATTCTGAAGGTAAAAATATAGTTAAAACATGGTCCCTTGCTGTGAAAGTTTATGAACAATTGAATTGCAGTGATGATTCAGCTCGATAAGTACTATTATTATTATTATTATTATTATTATTATTATTAGGAGAGGGGTGGAAGGAGAAATGAAAATGGTTTGTAAACCATAAAAGTATTCCGCAAATACTAACAAAGCCATAGAGGATGGAAGCAGAGTGAGGAATTTCGGGAGTTTGGTTAAGGATCTGAGTTTTAACGTTGTCGAATAATCCCATATTTGGGCCTGAATTCTCAGAATAGAACAGAATAGGACGTTAGGGCTGAGATCATCTGGTACAATTTTATGCGAATCGAAAATTCTTGCCTTCTGTCACCGTGCCCTGGGAAGCATCAACACCGCCACCCCAGCTCCTCCAATCCCAGGTCCAACGGTGTGACGTCACCACCCCACCCCACCCCCCGCGTCCAGTCTCTAAGCTTCAGTCCCTGGCACTAGTTCCAACGGCGGAAGCGCATTGTTGGGCAGGGCGGGGCAGCCGTGTGCGTACTGCGTAGGGGCGGGGCTAGTGCGCACGCAGCCTCAGCCCCCTT